TTGAATCGATGGAGTCTAGGTAGAGAGGTGGGTGAAAGGGAAGACTTCCCACACATTTCTCTCATTCATGGTGATTGGTGCTTGTTGTTTTTGGGTAGGATAGAGTATCTTCATCACCTCTGTCTTCTGCACGTTCACTTGAAGGAATCCCCGTCTTCATTTACTGTCTTGCCTCTTCTGTTAACTTGTCATTTTTCGCCTGTTTGTGCGACAAGACATTAGACATAAATCATCATCGGCGGAATGCAAATCGCCTAATGTGGTTTTTTCATCCGTCAAACTGCCGATGCCGATTTCCTCTCTCCTCAAAATCTGTTGCATGATCGAGTTCAATCGACCATAATCAGGTAGGTCATCGGTGATAGTAAGCAGCTTTGTCTTACTCCTTCCTGTCTTCAATTCAAAGTCATCACTGAGCTTTCTTTCCATCATGAATCACTTGGCATTTAGCATCATATAACGTAACATATAGCTACTGTTGAATGAGGTTGATAAAAGTTTGTGGCGCTAAAACCGTAGTGTTAGAGCAGCTACCAAATTACTTCTCAGTCGATGCTGTCGAAGGCCTTTCCTTGCATGGGGTGGACAGGAGTATGCTTCCATGCCAGTTCTTGCAAAGACTTAGGTCACCCTTCTTTGGGAGTTTGATAAGGTAGCCCTTCTTTCAATCAATCGGCAGGTACCTTTTCTTCCTTCGAAACCTTCTTCAGTAGTGGTGTGAGCATATCCGCTGTCATCGTTGGGCCTGAAAATTCCATATTAGGTTTGTTTATTGGATTTATAACACTTGATGACTACGTTTCCAGCACAAATTATCATCGCTCATAATCATACCAGTGTGATAACACAGCACATTCAACATCTGTTTTTTATAGTCCTATCACCTGATACTTCTTGCGTTTACTGGTAGAAACATTTTCCATATCTCTGAAACAGATGTTCCGTCATTTTTACTAAATATGTTGGGTGGGTGTTGATTCGATGAACAAACATTCCCTAATCAATCTCTCTCTGTTTCTCTCTCCACCTAATTATATTGGACTTGAGTAGAATGGTTTTATCCGACCTTATTGTGTGTAGTTGTTTGTTAATGCATGCAATACAACAGGTGAGTCCTGTTTTCTGAATTAGTCACCTGAATGGGATCTGTCATTCTGCATTAAGCTGAATTCCTATGTTCAGCTATGCTAACTGACTCCGACCAGCTTCTTTGACCTGTGTACTTGACTTCACTCGCTGTTATTATATGGAATTCGATAGATTAGATTATTTTGCTTAATTGGTTCCATTGGATCCTTAAGCCACTAGACCAAGCCAATCTCTAAGTAAGTTTGTTGGTTCAAATACCTTTCTAATCTTACATAAATTTTTAGATTGTTCATTCCTTATATGATGCTACAATCACTGTGAGTTCGAGTAGATACATCAGAGAAGCCGATTGGGGTCAGATGAAATAGCGGAACATAAGAAATTAGGTAAATAGAATGATAGACTTAGGTAAGATCAGTAATCTAGAAAAAAGGACTCATCTGTTGTTATGCATGGATTAACACACACACAATCACACAATAGGGTGAAATGAAGCCACTGTACTTGAATGCAGTATAGTCAGGTGGAGAGATAGGGAGATTGGTTACTAACTTTTTGTTCATTGGATCAGCCCCTAACCAACCCATAGAATACGAATGACTGAACACCAACTTGTATCAGAGATATGGAAAACTTTACCATCAATAAACACAAGGAGAATGAGGTAATAGGACTATAGAACGTGCTGTGTGATTACATTGAAATGATAACTGAATTATACACATAGCAGTGAGCATTGTCAAACAGAGACTTTAGAGTAAAGTAACCAAGTGGTTATTGATTCATTCGAATTGACTTCCTAGCTGAGGTGCTTAACAGATTGCTATACGATTATTTAAGGCAATAGATCAACTGTACTGTCATCAGTGTATTTAGATCTCCGCTTGAGGGTAATTTAAAAAGTGTATCAGAATTTCATGACTTAATCAAGTTTTAAGCAACTTCTGTTTTGATATTCACCATGAACTGAGATCATTTAGGGGAAGGTTAAAAACCTGGGAGCATTGGACAGCTGTTTCGTCCTAGTATAGGACGAAATGCTCACCCATGATCCTAGTGTCCATGAGGACAAATACTCATTGATGACATTGGGTGGCCGTCAGGCTATGTCGTGAATTGACAGAAGTTGGAAGTTTGGACCAGTGGCTCAATGGTAACGTGTTAGCCACGGAACTTGAAGGCACCCGGGTTCGACCCCTAACACGGTCATGGGTGCGCACTGTTGAGGAGTCTTATAATAGTGGGACGAAACAGTTGTTCAATGCTTTCACGTGTCCACTGTTCTACTAACTGATTTTAGTCCATGATGAATATCAACTTGAATAAACTTTAAATCCCCATAAAACCCCTGAATTTAGTTTATGATTGTTTGTGTGTTTTTAAAATTTTGTTGACTTTCAATTCTCTGCCAAGTTGTAGACTGCCTCTTTGTACTTTCATCTTATCTATTGAAAGTTTTTGTCCATATTTCAAGTTTCACCTACAGAATAGCCTCCAAGTGATATCAGGCTCTATCGTGGAATACAACACTTCACACTAGGAAACATATCGTACACCCAGAGACTACATAAACCTGAATACGCATAGTTTGACGTAGATCTGACTGACTTTGTGATTAAAATTATGACGAGAAGTAAATAAATACTCAGAAATCATCGATTAAAGTGGGGAGGGGGGGTTGATAATCTCAGCGAAATGTTTGTCAGTACAATTCAACACTCCTTGATGACAACGTTCTCTGCAGCCATGGTGATAGTGACTCTATGTAATAGACACATCTTAAAATGTGTTGAATGCCGTAAACAGTGAGAATTCTCCGACGTCGAGTCGAACTCAGGACCTTCAAGTCTTACAGCGCTAACATCCACCAATAAGTATTGTATAAACGAGGTCAACTCTTTCTTGAAAAATGAGAGATACTGTCGAAATCGAAAATTTAAAGGTGACTATTATACTGTAGTTCACCGTCTTGGCACCAAAATACAACTAGGGCTAAAATAAGTAAATTAACTACATAAACCTTAAGCTTGCCTCCAGTGTTTTATGTTTTGTTTTAATGAGTATGAATTCAAGCAGGCTTCGACACTATTTTGCGCTTCCTTAGTCCTAGTTAGCAAGCATGTACGTACGCATTCAGAGTCCCTAGTTCAGCTATACTAGCCAGATAAGTTAAATAAACTTTTCCTCTATTCATTACTATTACCTTTATTCCAAATAAACATATTACTACTTCAAATACATTGCCGAACCAATCCTTTTGATTTGTGTTTTGTTATCAGTACTTCCACGTTAGGTAAGGTACTGGTTAAACAGGTATTACAGCACACCAAGTTAAGTAGGGTTGGTCAAACGTTACGGAATAGTAACACACCTCTCTATAATTGGCAAGATCAACGTGAGTTTTCATTTCTAGACTGCCTCACCTCTGCGTTGTCCAGGTCTACGATTTGTAAGTTATCTTTTATTATTTAAGTACACCCTGTGTACTTGATGAGTCGTCGGTTCACTTTTCTTTTCCAGATTCTCATGGCCACCACCAAACTCTCACTACTCTCAGTGCCCCCTGAAACAATGTACCCATCTACATGATAGTAATGATTGATGGTGGCTAGCAGTGGAATTCAGGATGCACGTTTCGTCCTATTTGGGACTCGTCAGCTAGGTGTTCAAAATAGGACGAAAATGCGTATCCTGGATTCTATTGCTAGCCATTATACATCATTACTATCATAAGAGCACAGGTAATATTGAGGCATCCGCAAAGGATCCCATATATCAACAGAGACCGATCAATTCGGTCCAATCAACGACGGTATGATGTAAAAAAATTATATACCTATCTACAGCCTAGACGAAAATTTATCAAAAACTGGTCGTTACAATACGAGGACTAAAATGAATCGTGTTTACTTATCAGATACTCAGTTTTATCCAACTCACACATCGAAGCTTACGATTGTCTCAACTAATCGATAGAATGACTCATAACTTGAATTAAAAGTAAAGCAGATGGGTAGCACTAGGTTTAAAAGTGCTTTCAAGGTCACTCGTATTTGATTGGTCCACATGACTGTAGCGAGTATAATTCCAGAAGGGTTAAGGCATTGAAAAACACAGTTTCCCTGAGCCTTCATGTTATAAATTAAAGCTTCTTTGATAGAATATTCAGATTTTTCATTGAAAATTAAAAATGTATATTGTCAAGTAGTGTAAAACCTGGTTTTTTTTGTTATGACTGAGTAATTATGATAAATTATCATAATTATATATGGTTAACTGTAGGTTTTAGGTAAAACTTACTGATGAAACTTAGAAGGACTGTTTCGAATCAATTGTTTACAATTGATTCGAAAATAAATTGTAGTTCATAGTAATACCAACTTGTGCAGGGTTACTAAGGCCTAGGCAACAAGTGAACAAGTATTTATCTATTCACTCAAACAAACATATGTACATTCATAAACATTAAAAATAAGCAACAAGGAACTGTGGCTGGCTGGTAACGAACCAACCAATAACCTATCGTCCAACATAAATGCAGAATGCAGTGGAGATGGATTCGACATGCACTGAGAAGACCATTCACGGACATCACGCGCCAAGCGAGGTCCTCTAGTGGAAGCCAGATGGGAAACGACGAGTTTTGCGTTTGACGTGAGGGTGACATGGAGGAGATGGTGTGACGAAGAAATGAGAGCTTGTGGGCAGTTGTGGGGCCAGGTTCAAAAGATTTCAGAGAAGAGAGTGGAACGGAGGCTTGCTACTGAAGCCCTTTGTTCCACTAGGTCACCCAAGGGACAAATAGTAATAATACTAATAATCATAAACAATTATGTTTCATTCTGTTGCAGGAAATTCTGCTTGTTTTAAACATTCACATATATTCTTGATTCAATGACAAAATAACTTACTGAACAATATTGTATTCAATGGAGTCTAAATCTTCAGCCAATGGTAAAGGTAAACGTGTTCCAATATTGATTCCTTCTGATACATGTATAGTATATTGAAGATTTGGAAATTTTGGTGGATTATCATTGATATCAATTAATTTTATATTGATTATGAAAAATTTTGAGCGTAAATTAGTCACTATACTACTACTACTATCCTTATCCACTGTTTTGATGATATTTGAAGTACGAGTATTAGATGATATGTCATGGTTATATTCATCGTTGACATTCATACTATCACTACTACTGAAAATCTTATTAGTAGTAGTAGTAGTATCTTCATGATCAAGTCTTGTCTGTACAAGAATATTCAGTGGGAATATACACTCCTTCCTATGATTTATACAACATATCCTTAAAGAATTCGGTATTGAAACAGTAGATGATATTGATGACTCTGTCATCTGTGTAGTATATGCACATAATTCTTCACGATCAACTCGTTGAACTGTAATCAATGTATAATTATTTAAATCAATGGTAAAGTATTTAGCTAATGGATTACCTGTTGTAATAATCTTTATACTAATTGATACTTTTTCTAAATTTGATAACATTTGTGTTGATAACAATTGACAAGTATTTCCATTAATCTCATCTATGAGAACACTATTCATTGATGTCTCATCATATACAACACAATTATAACTCAGTTGAATTAAATTTTGACTTATTGATATATATCGTCTTGAACGATTCAATTCATTATAAGTTGATTTCAATGGAAAATAATTTGAAGATCCTAATGATAGATTATGCATTACCATAGTGACTGCATTAACCTCTATATTTGATGATTCTATCCATATCCAAATATTATATAAAATGATTATTTGACAAAAACAATAAGATAATAAACGTGATTGATGATGGTAACTTCTGTCGAAATCTACTAATAACATTATTGAATAATAATAATAATTTTCTGATAATTTATTTATTCCATTATATCAGTTGACTTTCCTGTTGAAGTACTCTTCAGATGTCATTATTATTGAAGTGTGTAAAGTGCTAGTAGGTAGTGTGTTTAACAGAGAGTCGATTCATATGTGTGTACTTGTATGCGGATCATTTAGTGTAGAAGATCATATATCCTGTTTAACTGTTTTTTTGATTTACTGAATGTATTAGAAAGACATTGGTAATAACTATTTATCTCTATATTCATATATGTGTCCACATGTTATGATTGTAACCATAGACAAACAAACAAATCCATGATTCCTCCTGATTTCAACTTACTTGTTTATTGCCCTACAGGAAAATGAAGAAATTATTCTGTCGTCATATCTCCGTCGCAAAGGTCGTCATCATCATCATCATCATCAACAGTAGCTGCACGATCATCTACATGTGCATTCTGTGATTGGTTTGTGCTTGGCTATTCTCAAGTTGACCAATACGCGTCTCGTTTGTTGTATGAAAATGTAGGCATGCGTGTTTCACTCTGTACAATATGTGATAGGAGAGAGATATGCATATTACAGACATACATACAAAACTTATTTAAAGCATCTAGGTTGATGTAGACATGCATAAATACATATATGTCTGTATGTACAATTATGGGAAAAAAGTTAGGTAAGTAGGCACATGCCCAAAAGATGTGACACTTGTGATTGGATGATTCAAAATTTTAACTGACTTTATATGAACTAAATACGTTTCCAAGTCATTTGAACTGTTACGTCATATAGGGTTTTTTGCAAACAACCAATCAAGTTACTGTCTGGTGCATGGTGTCCAGTACCCTGGGTTCTCATGAAAAGTTGTGAACTGTGAGGTCAGCGAAGTAAGGTGTGTGTGGATAGTTGTCAGGTGATATTGTATTGGGCGTCGCTGATAAGGATGGATATCAGTAGCATATATTGAGAGGGTGAAGATATGATAGGGAATTACCAGAAATGGGTCAGGATTCTGCTAAGAGCAACGCAAATGATAAAGCAGGCGTATTACAGTGGGTGTTGCTGATAAGAATGTATGAATAACGAATCAAGAGAGAAGTAGAAGGGGGAACGAAGAACATTTTGCAAATGATGGATTTAGTGCAAGGTGTGCCATATTTAATGACTAACGTGCCAATGGGCTCCGTCCAGGACATCTCTGTTCTTGCTCTTTCGTTACACCAGCATGCATCACTGCCTTTGGCCTCGGCACACAGTCTACGTTTGTGTCAGAAGGTCCCGGCTACTGAACTAGCTGGCCAGTTCTGCACCTCCCAGCGACTAATGCCGGCTCGTTATATTAAACTACTGCTTGGAACTCTGTCAAGAAACTGCACTAAAGAACTATCTTTGGGTCTAAGATGCTTGGATTATTCCATCGTTGAGTGGAGCGAGTTCATCGGTCTCTGTTGGCATTTGGACTCGTGTACGGATACCTCGAAATTAGTGATGGATAGCGGCTATCAGTGGAAGTAAGGACACGCGTTTCGTCCTGCTCCAAACTCGTCAGCTGCAGGTACCTGGACACCAGTGAACAATAATGTTATCGCTAGAGGCCGATTTCTTCTTACCTTAGATTCGATTACCTTCTCTAACCTGAATAACCAAATCGCACTAAATTCAACCTGGATGTTTAAAACGGGATTTTCTTGCAAATGAGTATAGTATATTCATCTATTTGTAGTTCCGGGGAATGTAGAACGTAACGGTTATCCAGTGCTTACAGATTTCCAATGTTCCTCCAACTGATATTATTCAGTGACGCCTTTGATGAGAAGTGAAGACAAGAGTAAGACAAGGCTACCATCTACTATCACCCATGATCTCCCTCACTGTGGTGGACTGGACCATGCAGCGAACCGTGAAGAGCGAGAAGATGGGCATACGCTGGCTTGGCCGATGAAAAAAGCTTGGATGATTTAGATTATGCCAAAGACGACGATTTATGTACAATGTCTTGTTGCACAAACTTGAAGATCTACAGGTGAAAAATAACAAGTTGACAGAAGAGGTGGGGCAGCGAAGACAGAACTTCAAGTGAACATAAAGAAGACAGAGGTGAGAATGATACCCAACCGAAACCACCATCATCACTAACAACAACAAGCTCCAATCACCATGAACGGGAGAAACTTAAAGGAAGTAGTCTCTTTCACGTACCCACCTACCTAAGCAGCATCCTCACAACTACAGGCGGCACAGGCAGAGACAAGGATGTCAAAACCAGGATCAGAAAGACAGCAAGACAAGCTTTCACTAATCTGAAGTCAGTGTGGAGATCTACTGCACTGCACTCAGCACAAAGCGTGAATAAGATCCAAATTTTCAACGCCAATGTCAATCAAGTCAGTGCTCCTGTATGGTTGAGAAACTTGGCGTGTCACGAAAGGCATTTCCAACAAACTACACACATTCATCAACAGCTGACACCACCTTCGCTCACTAGACACTGACAGTGAAAATCAGATGGCCACAATAATAAGAATAAGCAACAAGGAACTCACTGTGGCTGACTGGCTGGCTGGCTGGCTGGCTGACAACGAATCAACTCACAACCTATCATACAACGTGTATGAAGAAGGAAGTGGAGATGGATTGGATTCGATTGGATTGGATTGGGCATACACTGAGAAGACCATTCGGGGACATGATTCATCAGGCCAGGCCGTTGAGTGTAAGCCAGATGGGAAACGATGAGTTTTGCGTTTGAGGTGGGGGTGGGGGTGGGGGTGAGGTTGACATGGATGAGATGGTGTGAGGAAGAAATGAGAGGTAGTGAGTAGTGGTGAGGCCCTGTTCAAAAGACTGCAGAGAAGAGAGTGTAATGGAGGCGTGGTACTGAAGCTCAAAGGAAAAATAATAAAAGAATATTAGAAATAAAGTTCCCGGAAAGTCCTGACAAATATGTATTTAATTATTCTTCAATATTTCTCCTAGAAATCCTGTTACAAACTTTAGTATTGGTTCCTAAGTTCTACAGCGGTACATTGAAAGTTAACAGACTTCACACCCAGATGCAATTTGAAAACCTAATTAGTCAAACTTCCGATCTTGCTCCAGCATCGTCGCAGGATGTTCAACATTTCAATCCACTGTTCTTGACTGCTGTAACCATTATACTAATTCAAAATCTAGTTTGAATCATGTGCTGATGAAGGAGCATATAACACAACTCAAGTAGATCACTGACAATCATGACATCATCTTAAATCGTCCTGATAAAGGAGGGGGTGTTATTCTGATGAATTGTCAGTAATACATCATGAGAAATTCTATCGATTCTCTCCGATCAAACTAATTTTGATAAACCTGCAGGCAAGAGGAATAGAACACAACAGATTGGGATCCAATAGATGGGTTTCTTGAGAGATCTTGGCTATCCATGAACTGAAGACTGACCTTTGTTTTTGTCTCTACCTTAGCCTTAATTTATTTTAGTCTTAGTATGCTTCGTCCTCCTTTTTTCTCTTTCCACCTCGCCCTCCCCCACTTTTTTGTCAGACTAATCTTTGTACTGTCCTATAGTCACTATCACTTTAACAAAACATTTTCAGTTTACTCCAATTAACTTGTCTCATTCATATTACCTAATCCTTTGATTGCATATTAACCTTTTCACCCCGCTTTTAATCGATACGAACCTTATAAACGATCTGAAAATCTTACATAGCCCTCTTCTTGTTATCATTCAACCTTTACACGTCATCAACTAGCAACATTATCAAACCACAGGCAATATTGAGGCCTCTGCACGGGAGGCCATATGACAACAGAGACTGATGAATTCAGTCCAATCAACGACGGTGTCATACAAGCAATGACACTAGAACTATACCCGTCGCACAAGAAGTGGTTATCGTGGTTCGGTGGTGTACTGGATAACATTCTGGTTTTTGAAGCGATCGCTCCTGAGTCCGAGTCCCGGTGGGAACATCACTTACCGGGAAGCAGGTACATCTAGCTGACGAGTCCCAAATAGGAAGAAATGTGAATCCTGAATTCCATTGCTAGCCACTACCCATCTTTACTATACGTAGTTAAAAGACAGGCAATATCGAGGTAGCCGCACAGGAACCCATATGCCAACAGAGACTGATGAATTCAGTCCAATCAACGACGGTGTCATGCTAGGCATAACACTGTAACTACCATTATTATTATTTGACCTTCCATCTTATTTCAGTTAATTATTCCTCATGGATTACAGTCTTTAAATATCATACACTTGTATACGAATGTACACTTTGGAAATAAATTTGTTGAAAAGAGTCCTCTTCGCTGAATATCTTGTTTTTTCACATACTAGATACCAGCATTGCTCTTAAGTAGGATGAGAATAACAGCGTTAGCAGAATAAAGTGGATCCATTATATTTGGCTGTTTTCATCAACTAAGTTAACAACCTGAAAGAACCTAAATTAATCAGTTAATCTCCACAAACCTCCAAATTGAATTAATCTAGTGTCCATTAGTGACTATCTTCAAAAGGTGATTCCCGTAGTTCCAATGAAACGTCGTGACCAGTCAAGTCGACCAGCAACGACAGTAGATGTAGGTTGTTTTATATCATGAAATGACAGATAATGGAAATATAGACGATTAGATTCTGACCCATTGACTGGTCACGGAATTTGAAAATCCTTGGTCCAATCGCTGATGGGGTGGAATTGTGGATCAGCACTGTTAAGGAGTCTCATTCTAATGAGATCAAACAGCTGTCAAGTGGTCACACGTCTCCAATGTTCTTCCAACTCATATCATTCCGTAATCAATATCAGTTTATACAAAATATTTTCATACATGAATCAGTTTAATAGAAAATTGTTGGCTTGAATAAATGATAAGATTGACATGACGTAATTGAAGACAACACACGAATTGAGTGAATAAATCTACCGAAAAGATAAGAAATTTGCCGGTATATACAAGGATTTGACGAATATTAAAAAGGGGGAGATGTAAGTGTACATTGATACTGGGTGGTAACTGAAGATGAAATGAACCACAACTGAAAGCAGTGACTACCGAATTTTCGGCCCAGTCCTCTACTAACTGACATATGACGCGTTACTACTAATTGACGACCCTTCTTGCACTGGTTACTTGCAGTCAGAATTGCTCAACCTAAAGGATAGAGCATCATATTAATTATCATTTTGATTATCTGAGACCTGGACCATGGGTGGGTTCGAACCAGGGCAAGATTATATAAAATCTGTATAAAAAAAGGGTAATAGAGTTTACGTGGTAGTATTCATCATGGACTGACATTAGATGGAGAAATATGTGAAAATTGAGAGCACTGGACGGCTGTTTCGCCCTAGTATGGAACTCCTCAGCTGTACGCACCCACGACTTTGGTTAGGGATCGAACTAA